CGTGTGCGTGTGCGTGTGCGTGTGCGTGTGCGTGTGCGTGTGCGTGTGCGTGTGTGCGTGTGTGCGCACGTGTGTGCGTGTGCGTGTGCGTGTGCGTGTATGCGTGTGCGTGTGTGTATGTATAGTGAGTATTAATGCTATAGTATGACTGACGCCCCGAGCTCACACCTTCATATTATGTAAGACACATACAGTACATAACCGCCATGCGTAGATATATATTAATTTCCGAAGCACACGTTCTATTGAGTCTAAGGAATATTATTGCGAAAACGTCTTAATAAAAGATGGCAACGATAATCGGATGAAATTTCACAATTATACGAGGCGGTAATATTATTTTATCTTGCCAAGTTTGCATGATAGGTGGTTTATTTCGTGACAACATGCCAGGCATTCGGGAATACGTGTTTTATGAGCGCTGTGTTATGTTGTTCAAGATAGGATACTACACACAACTACCCACTACAACTAGTTTATAGATAAACTACACACAACAAACAGATTTGTTAGAAATTTCCCAACTTAACGCTCATGAAAACCCCTTTGAATTCCCTAGCAAATTGAATAAATGAAAATGAAATTCTGTCGAAGACGTGAAATGTGTTTGATGCACTTTCGTAGTTCAATAATAATTAAAAAACATCGCACACAATCTCTACTAAAAGAGCTGAACTTCGCATAGATTATTTTCAAAGAGTAGCGCAAAACATAGCAAAGCAAGCTAATGGCGGGCGTAAATTATAGAATCAAAAACAGTCAATTAAGTAAAATTTTACATAGATTAAATCTGACAATATTAATATATGCGTTACAATGCTATGGTAATTTGTGTTTCCGTAATATCAATTTTTCTATGTTGATGAAGGTTTAATCAAAGATAATTAATACATATTTAATTACAGCCGTTGCATAATTGATGTGATAATGATGTATGCGAGAAGACACTCAATATAAGGCGTATTTACCAAACGTTGCATTTACCGTTATGTGGCATACTGCTATTATAATTATATCATCAGTAGTTACCAAACGTTTAAATAATATATCATATAGTATTATACACACGCGCGCGTGCACGCACACACACACACACACACACACACACACACACACACACGCACGCACGCACGCACGCACACACACACACCCACACCCACAAACACACACACACACACACACGCGCGCACGCACGCACACACACACACGCACACACGCACGCACGCACGCACCCCCCCCCCCCACACACACACACAAGCAAGAAACGAGTCGGACCCTTTTCTTTTCTATAATTTCACAAATTATGCGTAATCCAAGCCACCTTTCGAGAAGTCTGTGCAAATGATGATGATAGCGTTGCATGCGCGTTACATTACGTCACTTTACATTGTTTCTTTTAAAGGCTTCGCTAGAACGACCAATTTACTGTTTTTACAGCTAACGCTCAAGTACTGGTAACTACCTGAGATGCGATCGATCTGGATAAAAAATGCAGCGAAATAAAATTGTACCTAATGTAGTATTTCTTCGTAAAAATATAAGGAAATAAAAGTATAAATCCGTCTAACCACGAACCGGCATGCACATAAATAGTAGCACACATTATGAAATTTAATAATATAAACTATAAATGTAACATTCGAATTATAAATGCAACATAAATATTAATATAATATAATTAATATTACTATATAGTTTTATCATATTTTTTCATGGAAATCAAGGTTAATATTGTCATGGGCTAGGATTCTGTCGCATCTTGCAGTATTTGTTGTAGTGTAATAGTCTTACAGTTACATCTAACGTAACCCATGAGATATTGCAGCACATAGTAGGATAATCTAGACATCTCACTTCCGAAACTCTTCATTAGTTTATCAAATAACAACACGATCAGAAATCCGCAGCGTCCCTCGACAATAATTACTTTTTATTGAAATCTAATACGTTTGACAACAATTATTTTAATATGCAGGTAATTACGAGGAACGTATGCAATTATTGAGATTCTTACTTCAAAGTCATAATCTGTAGTTGTATGCCCGCTATGAAATCATATCAAATATCAGCCATACATACTTTTTGCCATCATACGTGCTTACGAAAAGTATGACCAAAACATAAAATGGGAATTTTAATCCCAGTATCATTACAAATTGTCACTCATGAAGATATATGTGTGGACAGTCCTTAGAGGATTATGCTTGAATTATCTATCTCTGTTATACTGAGAAATCTCCGCACAATTATAACATGCAACTGAATCTTATATATAACTTAATAATAATTGCCCATTTGTTCTGCTCTTCTGTTCTTCTTCTGTTGATAACTTCCTACATGCCAATTTGTTCTGTAAACGTTCATAGGTCGGGTCTGTTTTTAATTTTCTGGGTTTTCTTATACGTTACAGGCAGTGGCTGAATGCGGAAGACATACACCCAGCTTTCTTACACTTTGTCAACTTATCAATGGAACAAAACTACCACAAGCAGCCCGATCCCTTATTCAAGTACTACATTGCTTGTGCTACTGTGATCTTTATCTGCATGCTTCTAGTTCAAGTCATCTTCATGCCAAAGTAGGTTCATACAAATTCTCTTTTATTATTATAGTTCGTTCATTTTAGAATAGTCGTGATCACAGATCATGATGTTATATAGTGTATGGGGCCTGCTATTATTACTGAACTGATATTGAACACGTGTGATACATTCGCATTAGAGTTCCAACATGAATTTGCCTGTATTCTAAAATAAGCATTTTTGGAATATTGCACGTTTATTATTATTATTATTATTATTATTATTATTATTATTATTATTATTATTGGTGGTGGTGGTGTTATAAATAATATTAAGAGTGGTATTGCTATTAACCGATTCTACGTGTATTACGAATTTTATGATTAAAATTAACGTGCAAACATGTGTTTATTCCCTATCACTATAGCCTCGCGTATGCCATTAGGCCCTACATTAAAAAATATAATGTTCTTTGATGCTTTCAGAGATTTGGTGCTGCTCATCTCATATGGTGCTATTAGCTTTCTGTTTGTTGTCCTACTCTTCATATCATGGTCTGATAGCTTTCACGTAAGTTCTAATATATTTAAGTGTAGACGTACAAAGCGCGTGTAATTACAGCCCCGTATATAAATTAATTATAGCCCCCAAACTCTAGTTCGGTTTTAATCAAATCATATCTATTGTATACTTAGTGTGTTAGACATCGCGCGCGGGGACATACTTTCCGTAATGTTCGTTCTTTTTTTAATTTATCTGCCTTGCAGGTGAGTAAGATGCATCAACCATCCTTCCTGAGTTCCGTGTCTCGTGTGATAAGGAATGGACCGTGGCTTCGCATGTTCATAGCGACAACGACCATGGCCGTTCTCGTAGCTGCCGCCATTATTACAGTGGTGCGTAAATATAAATATAAATATAGTAAATAAGTAATATAGTAAAAATAGTAAATAAGAAATATAGTAAATATAGATAGAAATGTGTTAGTGACGTGTATACGGGCATGTCGTTTTCCTCGAACTCTTGCCTGTGCGTAGACGCGAGTACGTTTTGTCAGACCCGGAACATTTCAATGGCTTCACGACACCTTAGACCGAATATATAGACAAATTCCGCTCGGTGCAGTGCGAAATTTCTGATATAATCTCTGCAAATTTATTATATTTAATTATTTATTATTTTTATTAAATTTATTAATAAAAATAATAAATAATTAAATATAATAAATTTGCAGAGATTATATCAGAAATTATGCAATATTATATTATATTTATATCTGAAGATTATATCCCCGCATCTCGCACGAAAAGCGGAAATTGTAGATTAATCCAACAATGATCGCAGGTGGATTACGACCCCGGTCAAGTTACGTCGAGCGACGAGCGCGGTGAAATGATTCCAAATATATCGGAGACTTTCGTCGTGTCTGATGACGAGATTGGAGCACTAGAGCTGCCATCAATACGTAACGCCACGGCTGAAAGCTACTGTCACTTTGCGCCGGTAAGCCGTCGGTTGCAGGGAGCGGGTTAAGTAGTCCTCCTGTGTCGACGTCAGTTTTCCTCATCTATATATAACGATAGATTTTCTCGTAAATAGACGGGTTTGTTGTAGGATAACGAACTCGATATAGTTACCATAACGATACTTCTATATCGGATTCAGCATGACGTCACGTGGTGGTTCTGACGCTAAGTCATTCGGTTGTTATTGTTGTTATTTACTTGTTTGTTTTCAAAAAAAAATTCTTGTAATCTGCTTCACAACGCTTTTTTGTCTGCTGTTTTGAAACAGTACTACGTCTTCTGCTGCCTGTTGGCTCTCATCGCCTGTTCTGTGTTCTTGCAAGTCAACTTTCTCCTGAAAATCTTCGTGACTCTGCTGGCCGCTGTGCTATATATAGCGACTTTCAACAGCCTGCGACGAGACGTGTTCGTAGGACACGAGCCAGAGACGTAAGTATACATGCATGCAACGCAGACCGCTGTTTAGGATTATAATAAGATTAAGATTACAACGATGTAAAAGATTATAATCGCATATATACTTATTGTGAGGACATATAACAATGCATTTTACATGTGTAACAGATCTGAAACGACCGAACCTCATCAAACGTTGATCCGAATTATTCTCTCACTTTCTTCCCCCACCATCTCGCTCTTTTCCCCCACCCTCTTTTCTCTCTCTCTCTCTTTCTTACTTTTTCTTTCTTTCTCGCTCTCTCTTGCCTTCTTTGACTCTCTTTTTCTCGCTTTCTCTTTCTTTCCTTTTCTTTCTCGCCTTCGCCCTCTCTTTCTCTTTCTTTTCTCCCTCGCGCTTTCCGTTCTCTCGATTCCACTCCACACAGACGTTGTCACTATAGCAGTACACGTAATGCCTCCGCACGTGATCTTTCAGTCTTAACACGCTAAATCCTACTGCCAAGGGTCTTATTTGCACAATTTCTTTGAAATTTGAAGCGCGTTACCCTAACATAATATATATATATATATATATATATATATATATACGCTGGTTTTGAACTCTGCCAAATATCAATATTATCGATGTAGCATGCCCGATATATTTATCTCTCTTCTCAGGAATACTCTACTGACAGATCCAATCAGGTACACGATCTATGTGATTCTGATGTTTATTACGCTACACGTCATCGATAGAAAGGTAATCAACAGTAAATCAATTGCATGTTTTTCGATAGTGTTGTGATTTAGGCACCACCTCACTAAATCTGTTGCCATCGATTTCCATCGCATAGTTTGAGTTATTCGAAAAGCTACTCACATTCACGTTGTTAACTTATGATTACGTTACTCATGTTTCTAACTAGACAACTACGCGTGTGTCGTGTCAACATGCGCATACTGACTTGTCACGTGAATACGAGAACTGATTGTTCTTTTAAATTCAAAGCCTCGTTTCCTCCTATTTCAAGATCATTTACCTATTTTATTATGTCAGTTTTTAATCGTCACTTTTACGATTGAAAGAAAGAGAAACGTTGCGCGTGACGTACTAATGTGTTTTTTTCTCATCCTGATAGATCGAGTACACGTCCAGATTAGACTTCCTCTGGAAGACAAAGTTTCAGACTGAGCAGGAAGAGGTGGAGATGATGGGGTCAGTCAATAAGATCCTTCTCGAGAACATACTGCCAGCGCATGTTGCCGCCCACTTTCTCTCCCCAAACCGAAGGACAGACGTAAGTTAAATATTTTATGCCCTACTTTTTGCTAAAAAACACACCATACTTTCACGTCTATATACGCCTTGTTTTAGTTGGTATTACCAACCCTGTCAGTTCCGAAAGTTTACGTGCATCGTTAAACGGAGAAATAAGCATGTGCAGAGGTGACACCTAGTGTCAGCCATCGAATAAGAATGAAAATGAAAAACAATCATATTTCACATGCGTCTAAACACATGCGACTAAACAGAGGAATTTCTCCGACCTGTGATTGGAGGATAAAAATAGACCCCGCCCACTCCCGTCGCATACACTATTATTCTATGACCGGTAGGAACGTGTACTAACTATCATATGGCGCGAACGATTTGAGTTACAATTCTATAAATTCTAGCTCTTATAGACACATGTCTTAGCCTTAATCTCTGTGAAATTTGAGTCTATTGAAGCACGATTAGTCTAATTAATTAAAAAATATGCACGCGCGGTATCGCTCATACACGCGCGGCTATGACCGGTGAAACGTAACGTCACGAATTCTATTTTTATCTTCTAATCACAGGTCGGAGCAATTCCTCTGTTTAGACACAGCGTCTAAACAGAGGAATTGCTCCGACCTGTGATTGGAGGATAAAAATAGAATTCGTGACGTTAGGTTTCAACGGTCATAGCCGAGCGTGTATGAGCATAATAGCGTATGCGGCGGGAGTGGGCGGGGTCTATTTTTATCCTCCAATCACAGGTCGGAGCAATTCCTCTGTTTAGACGCATGTCAAATACCGCATAAAGGTTTGAGTGTATCCTTAATCAAGTCGGCACTAAACAAAAGTAATATCGCATATTACTCGTCCGTTTACATACCACGAGGTATAAAATAAGAATAATAAATAATAAAAATAAAAATAAAAATAAAATAAGTTATAAAAGAGAAATAAGGTTTTCGTAACAAAAGGTGTATAGCTGACGCTAGCAGCTGGCGATTCTCTCTTCCATGCAGGAATTATATCATCAATGCTATGACAGCGCCAGTGTCCTATTCGCATCGATTCCTAACTTCTTCAAGGAGTTCTACTATCAAACAGACATAACTAAGGACGGTCTCGAATGCCTCCGTGTTCTTAACGAAATCATATACGACTTCGACAAGGTATTGTATTCTTGCTTTTTTTACTCGGTGCGTAAGATATAACCAATAGATATGTGAATGCTATATTCAGCAACGAAAAACGTTATGAACTTACAATACTAGAATTTAGTGATGAATGTTTCTTGCAACGTCTCTCGTTTTTTTACTATTAATCTATCGTTGAATCTAAGGGTGGAAATGGCAGAGCTTGATAGATGGTTTATTCTGACTTTCTGACTTCTGACTGATTTTCTATAGTGAACTCGTGGCATTTAGTGTTATAAGATTCGTTCCCGTGACTTTTGCATGCGTAGCTGCTGCTAAAGCCAAAGTTCTGTGGCGTGGAGAAAGTCAAGACGATTGGCAGTACGTATATGGCCGCAGCAGGTCTTGTACCTGGGCAGGAGAACAAGCAGCAGGTAAGCACAACAAATCTTCTGGTAACAATGATATGGAAACTGATTTGTTAGGTATAGATATTATACAATGCAAGTATGAATTATATTAAAAAGTCGACGAGCAAAGCTTCAGCCAGCTGAATAGTTTGAAATTACACACGCGATCATGCTTCTTTATAATCCACCACGACAGCATTATAATTGTGTTATCGCATTCGCTTACATTATTAACAAAGACACGCGTGTACGTCGATATACGCTAGTGCCGCCTTCGAATGTAACCGAAAAAAGTCGCATTGTTAATCATTATATGATAAATAATATTATTTTCTTATCAAATTACTACAGAACCCTGATCATCATGTCATTGTGCTGCTGGAATTCGCCTTCGCAATGATAGCCATCCTAAATCAGTTTAACAAGGATTCATTCAACGAATTTCGCTTACGGATGGGTAAGCCATTTTTAGGATGTCGTCGTACATTGCCGTACAAACCCATCGGGTTATGATATCTGTAACACTACGACGTATTCAGGTCGCTCGTTGACCTTAACAAATCTGTTTTATGGGTGTCAAAACGCTATTTTAGAGATAATCAGCAATAGAATAAGCCTTTTTATTTTATATTATATATCATGGATTTGCAAATAGGTAAAATAGGTAACATAATAGCAGCAGTTCCTCATTCGAACATTGGTAGAAATACGTTTAAGCGCGTTAATGGCGTTAAAATACGTTATTCGCATTAATGTGTTTCCCAGTCATCATTACGTCTTCATGTATAGTATTCCTGTCTGCTCACGTGCGTGCGTGCGTGCGGGCGTGCGTGGGTACGTGCGTGTGTGCGTGCGCGCATGATACGTACGTGCGTGCGTGCGGGCGTCGGGTGTGCGTGCGTGCGTGCGTGCGGGCGTCGGGTGTGCGTGCGTGCGTGTGCCTGCCTACGTGCGGGCTAGCCATACATTGAATCAAGAACCTGTTTTCGTCGGCAGGATTCAGTCATGGTGAGACCATAGCAGGCGTCGTCGGTGCACAGAAGCCGCAATACGACATCTGGGGCAACACAGTCAATCTCGCCAGTCGTATGGACAGCACTGGTGTTGTCGGAAAAATACAGGTGCGACCTTTTATTTTGTGTTTTTACTGGTATTTCTCCGCGTAGAGAGAGCGAGCGACTTTTTATTTTGTATTTTTACTGGTATTTCTCCGCGTAGAGAGAGCGAGCGACTTTTTATTTTTTATTTTTACTGGTATTTCTCCGCGTAGAGAGAGCGAGAGAGAGAGAGAGACAAAGAGAGAAAGAGAGAGAAAGAGAGAGCGAGAGAGAGAGAGA